AAACCTTCAGGAAGTATTTCTGAAAATACCCATAAAGAAGCACCATGCAGGTTTCCATCTTATCGAGTAATTTTTGAAATAAAAAACGAGTGCTCACGCCTTAAAACATCTATTAAAGTTACTGAAATAAAGGCCAAAGTTAAAATACAGGATCTTATGGATCATACATCCAAAAGGCTTGTGAAACTACGGGAGAAGAAAATTTTAAAAGTTTTGATGATAAAAAGAAAGACTTTGATGAATTAATACTAATTAGTTGTCAGGGTATGGACGAAACACTAAAAATACTATTAACGTTTTAATAATTCCAATCAAAATAACCTTCAAGATTTGGATCTATTAGTCACAGTAACATCACCTCTTCGATTACATGTACAATCAGATTTAAACAATCTTTTATTGAATAACATAATGTCTCAAGGTATTAGATTCTGTAGACAAATTATACTGAAGTATGTAAATGAGAATAAAGAAGTGGTATTAAAAATTAAGGAAGAAATTGAAAAAGAAACTCTTAATTTATATCCTGATAAAGTTTACCTTTCAGGACATAAGTATGTTTTTATCAACTATAGTTTTATCCTTTCAATTGATGGAAAAATCTTAGTTACATCACGGAGACTTCTTCGACACAATGTTGTCCGATTTGTCACGCCGCGATCTAAAAAAAGGTTTGTTACAAATAGGCAGGCATTGTGCTATGGCATTTGACCACTACATGCTTGTATTAGGTTTTTTGAATTTATTCATATTTCATATAGACTTGAAAAAACTTGGAAAGTAGAAAAGGTTTTCAAAAAATCAATATTTTTTGAGAGAAAAAATTATACATGATAGGATGTTTGAAGAATTTGGTTTGAGAGTTGATGAACCAAAAGCTGGTGGATCAGCTACTGGAACTAGTAATACCGGAAATTTATGCACATGAGCTTTTTCTGATCCTCTATTACTCAGCAAAATTTTAGAAATGGATGAAGAAATTATCAGATTACATAACATTTTAATTGCAAATAATTGCAAAGACCCAAATGATCCGGAAATTGATAAATACTGCAATGATAGATATAAGAAGTTATTAAAGATATATGATTGGTTCAAGTTCCCAGTTTCCATTCAAAAAGTATAAGCTCATGCTAGGGAAATTGTTATTAATTTACCACTTCCACTTGATTTAATGGGAGAGGAAGCAGTTGAATCTCGACAGAGATTTTATAAATTTAATCGTGAACATCATTGCAAGGAAAAAAAGTAGAGAAATAAACTTACTTGACATTTTCATTCTAGGTATACATACTTCTGATCTCCTAATTAGTTCAATCTCATTAACTAAAAGATTGAAAAGTAAGAAAATATTCTGCCTACCGGAAAAAGTTAAAAGTTTATTAGCAGTTTATAGCGATGATAAAGTAAAAGATTCATCTGAATTGGAATTAGATGAAATTAATAACTTAGGTGAGTTATATTTAAATGTTGATAACGTTGATGAAAATCTAGAATTAGATATAGAGGTAGAAGAATAAAGTTCTAAACTGTATCATCTGTTTAATGTATAACTTCATATTTATTTGTCTACTATATAAATTTATCAAGTATATAATAAAATATTTAAAAAATTGCAATGATTCAGTTCAAATTATTAGAGTTTGGACACAAGACTATCCCGAAAGTTTATTTATTTGTTTGTTTTTTTATTATTAGTTTTATTATTATTTGTTATTAATTGAAAATTAAAATAACAGACTTTAATTCTCATTATTTAATCTGTTAAAGTTCGAAAGATATAACTGTAGTAACTATAATAAAGTTTTTACCATCCCTAAAATAAGGGGCTTGTAAACTTTATATAATCATATCTTTCAGAAAATAAAAGATTATCCAATGAAAGCAAAAACATGTCAATGAATTTGAGTTAAATTAAATAGCATCAAAAATCTGTTTTTAGACTCATTGCCCTCATATTTGGGGTGAAGCGGGGCTAACGTTTTGGGTATTTTTGATTCAGGGAGGGGGCAGGGGAATACACTTAAGCACTGGTGCCCCAGTGCTTAAGTGAATTCCCCTGCCCCCCTAGCTGCGCCTAATAGCTGGTTAAACATTAGAGTTAAAAATATTGTATTAAGTTTCTATTTTACTCATTTAAGGCTTAATATCTACATAAATACAACGATTATATTTTTGGCCACCTATTTCAATGGAATGTTCCCACTGTGCTGTGGTGGTTGAACAACCACTGTTGGTTGAACAACCACTGGTGGTTGAACAATCACTGGTGGTTGAACAACCACTGGTGGTTGAACAACCACTGGTGGTTGAACAACCACTGGTGGTTGAACAACCACTGGTGGTTGAACAACCACTGGTGGTTGAACAACCACTGGTGGTTGAACAACCACTGGTGGTTGAACAACCACTGGTGGTTGAACAACCACTGGTGGTTGAACAACCACTGGTGGTTGAACAACCACTGGTGATTGAACAACCACTAAAGATAGAAAACCTATTAAAGATGAATTAATCAGTTTTATTTCAAACCAAACGCAACTTTATAACGAATAAAGATTTTTAAAGAAAAGTTATCAATGCTAAAAATTTTATAAAAAAAAAAGAGTTTGAAAAGTATCTGGAATAGATTTCTAATATACAATTAATTCCAAAGAAATAAAATTTTAATAACAATTATAAAAATGATTTTTCTGTAATATATACTACATTTTATTAACTAAAATTAACTAAATGTATTTAAAGTTTGTATATTAATTAGCTATCTTTAAAGATTTGTTTATTTGATTTTGTCAATTTCTTTTCTGATTTTTTACTGATTTTAAATTATAATTGGAATAATTTACAGTTAAACATGAATTAAAACTTTTTTTTCTGCAATGGTAATAAATTTGTTTATATGAAATGTTCTTAACTTTTATTTTTGATGATGATAATAAAATTTCTGAAAAAGATTTTTTTTATAACAACTAGTTAATAATTTTCATTTCTATTTAATAACGCTAGTTAATAATTTTCATTTCTATTTTTTGACTTTCACTCACACATTAAAATGTCCATAAAACAGGTAGAAGTGTCCATATGAACAGGTTGTATCTATAAAATTAAATTGAAGTGTAGTAGTAATAAAATTGAAGTTTATTTGCATCTTGACATAAAATAAGTTCATGAGTGGTGTATATAAGACAAATGAGTTATGGGTGATGTAGACAAGACAGATATTCTATGGGTGATGAGAGTTAGATAGGACATGATCAGATATGTTTTTTCTCATTACTGCACTTGTTTTAAAATTAAAAAATCTAAAAACTTACTTACTTTAGTTTTTTTTTACTTTAGACCAAAGCATTGTAGAATCTAGGATAATTAAAAAATTCAAATCGAAGTTCGGTACAATTTTAACTGGCTGTTAACGCTTTGCTAAACTAGTACACTTCAAGTAAGCTAGTACACCTAGTAATCTCACATTTTCTTTGAATTCAAAGCATAAATTTTTTTTTTTAACAAGTTCTTTATAAAAATGTTTTATATTGTATAGTGTTACTATTTCTTATTTAAGTGGCGTGGAAGTTTGCAGCAGCCATGGCGCAGTGGTAGCGTACTTGCCTCAGAAACAAAGGATCCGAGATTCAAACCCCTCCTCTGGGCAAGTTTTGCGACATCGGTTAGGAAGGAAGCGTTAACTTCCAATTAAATGCTCATCCGCGGTGCTCTGTGATAAGACCGTAAGGACTTCTTGGAGCACCTAAATAAAATTAAAAAGAAAAAAAAAATTGGATAAATTATGCCAGCTTCTTGTCCCTGTTGTTTGTATTTATATATGTTTTATGTTTTGAATAATTATAAACGGCAAAACAACAACAACAACAAAAATAGTTATAAATAAAAAAAATAGTTTCACACAATTTTCAACTATTTGGTCAAGCTTCAGTCACTTTTTAAAATATTTATAGTCAAATAGGTGGTAATAAAACTCTTATTAAATATAGCTATTAGCCTGTCCTCATAAATGTTAAAAACTCTGAATGTTGTAAATGTAACATAAAAAAAGACTTAATACTCAAATCTTTGAACTGAAAATGATGAATAAAATATTTTTTAAAATACAGTTGAACTCTTGTAACTCGAACTCTTATAATTTGAAAGACCATTTATATCGAGCGAATTCCGAGGCACTTTCAAGGTATTTATATCGAGCGAATTCCAAGGTACTTTCAAAGTATGTATTTATATAAACCTTATGCAGGATTGAACTATATTTCGAAAGATCATTTAAATTGAGAAAATTCTTCGGTACCTTAACAGTTTAACATGTATTGAACTCCTAAAATTTGAAAAGTCTTGTAACTCAAACATATTTTGTGACTCCTTGAGGAGTGAATCCTTAAGGATTCAAATTAACAAGTTCAACTGTAATATGTTTTTTTTTTTTAATTTCATATATTCATTTGTTTTTGTGTGCTTTTATTTTTAAGTATTGCATTTTTTTTATCAAGTTTCAAATATTATATTTATATACTTTAGTAAATGTTATCTAGATTCTTATTAATTTACCCGATTGTTAGTGTACCATTATTCATATATTCATATACCGCCATTATTCTTAGCGGACCTCGATTGTTAGTGTACCACTATTCTTAGCGGACTTTTTTCTACAAAAAAAGATTTCTTAACGGAGTATATAAAAAAATATTAAAAAATAAATAAAAATATTTATTTTATGACTGTGATGCATTAAAGTTGTTAATTTTCGATAATATTTGTTGTTGGACTTCAATTTTAAAAATAAAATTATAAAAAAATAAATTAGAGGTTTTACTAACTTGTTATGCATGCTTATATATTATGCTATTATATTTATGCTAAAATTTATGCATGCTGTATATATAATACACATACACAAATATATTTATAAAATCTTTCTTAGTCTATAATATAAAATTATGTTGGCATTACATTTTTTATAATATAAAATGTTTAAAAAAACAAAACAAACTTACCACAATCAATAAGTAATTTTTATTCGACATAACATTTATGTATTCCATTAAAAGCGCTAAAATTCTTGATTTAAATGTAAAAACATTTATCACTCTGATCCGTTGGTTTCTTTAAAAAAAATTTAGTGAACCAACATTTTATTATTTCAAAGTAAAAAAAAAATTAAACTGAACAGCTTTTTTAGTAATTAAACAAATATCTGTCGAACTTTATTTACAAAAAAATAAATGAAAGTATTAACCCCGGAGAACTCTAAAGAAAGAAATCAATAAAGAAAACTGACAAAATCAAAACAACAAATCTTTAAAGACATTTAATAAATATAGCAAAGAATATTTTCTTAAAAAATTGTTTAAGTTTTCTGATAAGACAATTTAAAGCCGTTCATAAGGAAATCATGTTTCAATTTATAGCTCATTCATTTATTATTTATTTTTAATTTAGATTTTCAATCGATAGTTGCGTTAAAAACAATCGATATTTGCGTTAAGAGCATGCTCGTATTTGTTTTAATTCGTGTTTCTTAATAACAACTACTATTATTCAGAACTATTATAGCTTTTTTCATTAAAAATTTAGTCTTTGTTGAAATAAGATAACTTAAATACATTTTTTTCTTGAATAGTAAATCTTTATACAATTTTATACTATTAAGCAAAAAAATGAAAGAAAATTTTTTCATTTACGGTTTTAACTATTTATCTCAATTGTATTGAGATAAATAGTTAAAAGGTTTCTGCTTGGTTTCAATTCAATAAAATGCAATAAACTAAATTTATGTGAAAAAATAAGTTTCTCTGGATATAAAACGATAGACCTAATTTTAAGGGGCCCAATTGCAACTGACGATAAAGATAATATTGATTCTGCTGCTGCTGCTGATGGTGATGATGATGGCAAAAATTTTTACAGTCCCTGTATCATGTAGAACAATAGCGATCAAAAGGCGGATCCAGCATTTTTTAGTGTTTCAGATAGCAAACTTCCAAACATTGAGCAAACTCCAAATATTTGTATGTTTATACTTATGCCAATCAATGACGCATTACAAAAAATTGCGATGATTGAAGGCTTATAACAAAAACTCCCTAAAAATTATACCCCTCACCCCCAACCCCCACCCCCAAACATGAAGGCAACAACCTGGAAAAAATTTTTTGTACTATTTTCAAATAGACTTATAGTCATCGGTAAGTTTTAAGCTTCATAGTATTATCTCTCAGTGTTCAAATATCAAGACCATATAAAGTTTAAACCCTCCTCAATTTGAGAGGATTACTTTCACTTTTTTGCAAACTTCTTTTTTTACCAATTAGTTTCTAAACCTTGTAAGATATAGATAATGGCGTAAAACCTCTACATTAGTTGGTAAATAACTAAATATTTTTGCTTGTAGAGTAAGTAATTTTTTCCCTACAATTTTATCAAATATCTCATCATTTATTCTCAATTTAAAATTGTTCATATCAGATTGAATATTTTTTTTTTATATGTTATTATACCTATAGATGTAAAAAAATAAATAAAAGTTTTATAAGTATAAAATAATTTATAAGAAAATAATTGCATTTATAGTAAAACTCTCCTTATCTCAAACTTTGCATATAATTTTTATTATTTAGTAATTCTTGAAAATAATGGAATAAAATATACCAATCGAATAAAGTCACCAAGTAATGGAATAAAGTTACCAGAGTAACTCCAAAATCAAAAGTTAAATTACGTAACTATAACCAAAAAACGTTGAGGAATTTAAAACACAATTATCATTGCTCCATTGGAAGAAAATGGACTTTAGTGATAATGCAAAGAACATTTACGATAGTTTCTTTAATACTTTTTACTCTGCTTATGATGCTAATTTTCCTTTATATGAAAAAACAATAAATCAAAAAAACATTAATTCCCCCTTGGTTACCAAAAGTTTAAAAAAATCATCAAAAGTTAAGCAGAAATTATACATAAAATATCTAGAAAAAATAAATCATTCGCCAATGAGAAAATATACAGAGATTACATAAATCTTTTTGAAAAAGTTTGAAAAAACTTAAAAAAACATTACTATTCTAAAATTCTTAATAAAGCAAAAAATAATTGTAAACGCTCCTGGGAAATAATAAAAGAAATTATCGGTAAATCAAAATTATGCTCAGGTTTTACCACACATGATCAAAGTAGATAATAATAATATAAATAATTCTCAAACAATAGCTCACAAATTCAATAAATTCTTTGTTGAAATTGGCCCTAAACTGTCTAAATTAATTCCTAATACAGAAGCCTCATTTAAAGATTTCTAAGTACCGATGGATAATTGCATTCACTCAGAAGAGTTATTATTTGATGAGTTCGAAAAAGCCTTCAAACACCAAAAAAAAAATAAAGCAGTTGTACCAGATGAAATCAATGGTAACATAACTTTAGATTGCTTTGAGCAAATAAAATATACTCTTTTTAAAGTCTTTAAATCATCATTAGAACAAGGAGTCTTTCCTGATCAATTGAAAATTACTAAAGTCATTCCACTTTTCAAAGGTGGTAACAAATCTGATATAAGTAATTACTGGCCTATCTCTATCGTATCTATATTTTCAAAAATACTAGAAAGAATCATGTTCAATAGAGTATTTAATTATCTTAGTTTAAATAATTTATTATACAGCAATCAGTTTGACTTTGAAAAGAATAACTCAACTGAGCATGCAATTATTTAGTTGGTACGTGAAATCTCCAATTCTTTTGAAAAATCTCAATTCACATTAGGAATTTTTATCGATTTTTCAAAAGCATTTGATAATGTTGATCATGATATTTTGCTTTATAAACTTAGTTATTACGGAATAAATGAAAGAGTAATTAAATAGTTTCAAAGTTAGTTATCGAACAGAAAACAATTTGTTTCTTGTAATGACTTAATCATAAACAGTTTTAAATGTTTCGAAACATTTAAAACTGAACACCCAGGATCCTGGGTGTTCCGCAAGGTTCCATCTTAGGCCCTCTGTTTTTAATATATATTAAGGACTTGCATAAAGCATCGAATCTTCTAAGTATTATATTTGCTGATGACACAAACTTATTTATTTCGAACAGTGACATCTATCTACTTTTCTCCATATGAACAAAGAACTTCAAGACATATCTAAATGGTTTAAAAGTAACAAATTAACATTAAGTATAACCAAAACAAAATGGATTTTTTCCACCTACTCTTCAAAAAACATTTTCTACCTCCAAATCTACCAAAAATTCTTGTTGACCATATTGAAATAAAAAGAGGTTCTGTAACTAAATACCTAAAGGTTTTCGTTGACGAGAACATCGCATCGGTTCGAAAATTCCTCAATATTTTTTAATCAAATGAAAATCCTCTATATATATATAAACTAAACGTATATAAAAATTTATCTTTTTGTTTATATAAGCATGATTTATCTCCTTTAAGTTTTAAAGATCTTTTTATTTTGAAACCATTAAGCAAGTTTAAAATGAGGAATAATAATTATTTAAATGTACTATTCTGTCGAACAAAATTCAATTAATTTTTTATCACTTATCGCGAAGCTTATCTCTAGAACAAAATTATTTTGCCTAACTTCGACTTACCCCTAACTTATCCTGTTTTTAAAAATAAAATAAAAGACCTCGTTCCTTCTATTGAAAATATTCGAATATTTTTAATTTATCTAGTGATAAAAAAATAATAATAATAATTTTTATTGTCATGTATGTTCAAGTTTTGTTTTATACTTGTTTACAATTTATTTTCATTTATCTTAATACGATTTATTGTTTTTATATGATTTTTTACGTACTCTTATTGTAAAAAGGCGTTTTTATAATATTTTACGTGCTCTCTTTTGTAAAAGGCTTCTGACGATAAGATCATTGTGATCTTTTTTTAGAAGCCTTGTTTGTAATTTATATATATCACGTCAAATGTAAACAAAACATAAAAAAAAAAAATGTTAATTCTTAAGTTAAATGCTTTACTTATATTTACTAAACAAAGTCTTGAATTATAATTGCATCAAAGTTGATACAAAAATCTTTAATTGAAACATTACATTTTCATATTTAGCCTAAAAGCTCTGTTTAATAGTTTTTTAAAAGTGGGCGGCAGGGCGGGGTAAAAGTTTTGAAATAGGGGCAGTGGAGGGAGGTTAAATTTGAAAACCTCCTTATTTTTTAATGGACAAAATGACATAAAAAACTGCCTGAAAAAAATACATTTTTTTTTGTGACACTCTAATATATAATAACAGTAGGGGAAGTTGGAAAACAGTGGATCGGATTTCTTTATCTTTTAAATTGAGCGAAAGTTAAACTATGTATTTTATTTTTTTCAAGGCAAAAGGATCGATATATTTGTCCTTCATGATAATAAATCACTAAAACCCAAATATTTATTATCTAACGGCTCACAGAAAGGTTTAAAGTCAGTTGTATTATGTTATTTACTGTGCCCCAGTTCTGGGGCACAGTGTGACTTAACGATATTGAATAGGGGCATAGCCAAATAACTTTGAGGCTGAAGGAGTAAAGACACTGTCCACTATAATTTTGGCATACTTTTGTTAATTAGATTAGTATAAAATTGAACAAATATATATTTTGAAAATTTAGAATTTTATTGGCTTATGTTAAAAACATATAAAAATATTAAAAAACTAATAAATTATTCAAAACTTAAAACTAATAAATTCATTTTCACATAGTTTGTGTGTTAAAAATGCATGAATTTAATCTTTAAGATCATTAATGTACCTCAATTCACTGAGCCCCACCATAACAAATTAGGTTTAAGTCTAAATTCTTGGGACATGATTGTTGTTAAAATAAAAGCTAAACCACTAAAAGAAAGCATAACTATCAATAATCTGAATGAAAACTTCAACTTTTAAAATTATTTCAACCATGATTTCCCTAACAAACTTAAGGACGGTAAGAAAATTTTCTTTAGTTAGGTAGAAACAAAAGTTACCTACCAAAAACCGGTAGTCAAAAATTATGTGGTAACAACTATAAATAAAGGTGGCTGATACATGAGCACATAAAATGATTACATTATCAAGATTCATTATCAAAATTCTTATCTTTGAAAAAATGCCTCTTATTCTCTGTGCCCCTCGATCCACTGTACCCCAACTTCCCCTATATAGCTATGCACAAAAGTTTAATCGAGATGGTAATT